AATGTGATTTAGGGTTTAGGGTTCTACGTGGCACTTTGGACACCTACTAAGGGTTAACCTTAGGTACCTATAATACAAGTATAAAGGAATCGTAAAGGGTTCAAGGTCTAAGATCCAAGCTAAGTCCCAAGGAGGCTACAAAAGTACTATGAATCCCGCGGTACGAGTATAAGGTACTTGGGCTTTTGCAGGATTTGCATACCAATACTGGCCCCTGCCAGAACGAGGGACAAAGAAAACAAAACACAAGCACAACTCAATGACAAGATCTGCTGTTTTCCTATCTTTGGGCCATACGGATAGAAGGAAACCTTGGTAATTAAAGACAAAATGACAACTCAACTTCCTGTAGATTGGGATCCTTACCAGGGAAAGTTACTGTGTTTCAGCCTACCATATTACCTCATGGCTGTTTGGTCTAGGGTTTAGGGCTTATATAAGGTTAAGGGCCTACTGTAAGGTTTAGAGGGTTACGGAGGCACATAACCCTTGCCCTGGCCATCCCATGTAGTTTATGTTTTAGGTTTGATGTGGCTTTGGGCTTATGTAGGCTTAACCCGAAGCCTTAGTACCCTCGACCCCTAGATCCCTGAACGCCTGGGCCACCGAACCCTGAGAACACAAAAACCCTAAGCCCCTGGACCCTAAAGCCCCCACTGTAATTCACTATAAACCTTGTCCCCTAAAACCTGCTCGCTTTTTGTACTTTGCTAGGTCAGCCGGTCCCTCACAGCAGAGCAGTCGCCACCCGACTCGGGGCTTCCTTACAGGGTGTGCGCGCGGCATGTTGGCATAACCGTCATTATTGTTATCCGTCACTGTGATGATGGTGATGATGATGATTGTTAGCAGCAGCAGCAGCAGCAGCAGCAGCAGCAGCAGCAGGAGGAGCGGTAGCAGTAGCAATGGTAGTAGCAGTACTACTACTCCACCTACTACTTCTACCACTCCTCCTACTATTATTACTACTACTACTGCTCCTGCTGCTGCTGCTACTACTACTACTACTGCTACTACTACTCCTGCTGCTGCTGCTGCCGCTGCTGCTACTCGTTGCTACTTGCTACTATTATGGCCGTTTATAAGACATTACTGGTCTAGGGCTTTGGGCGGGGTAGGAGGTATAGGTACAGTGAAACACTGGTGATATCCTTAGGATATGACCTGACTATAATTTGGGTTCTCCCTACCCAGCGTGTACCTAGAACAAGTTTTGTACCTGATACTTTGGTATCTTTACGTCTTCTTACAGAGACGACTGTCATGCAGGCCCCGGACTTCACAGGTTTGGCTTTACACCGCAAAGGGATTCCAAGGGAAAAACGCTTGAAACATTTCTGTTGACTTGTAGACGCAAAAGAATCTCTCTCTCTCTCTCTCTCTCTCTCTGTCTCTATATATATATATATATCTCTCTCTCTCTCTCTCTCTCTCTAGTAGCATTTTATCATAGCAGTCATAGCAGTGCCAGCAAAGGAATAAGACAAAAAACAGACAGAAGCTATAGTGAAACTGGCGGACGAGTCAGCGGAACCAGAAAGCCAAAAAGCCAAAGGAAGAAAAACAACACGCGTCCACATCTTTGGCCCCCTGAACTATGGGGCCGGATGTTTTTTGTGGTTATTGTTGTCGCTTCTGGTTTTGTGTTTGCAGTTTTTCCTACCGTAGACTAAATCTTCGTGGGAGCACACACAGAAATGCACGTGAACCAAGTACCGTCTCAGAAGAGGCCCAAATGTGCGAACCCTAAGCCCTATTCTTTTCGGGGAGCTTTTTTTTTTCCGTAGAAAATTGTCCAGCAGATATGTTCCCTCTCATGGTCATTACTACTTCAAGCTTGGCAGGTTTGTTCTTGACGGTGGCAGACGCGCTTGATGATTGATAAGGGGAAACTACCAAGGGCTGTTATCCCAAAAAAAGTGCCTTCATAATGTGCAGAATCGAAAGCCATTCGAATTTGTTTTTGACGCATGAAATGCTCTTTCTTCTATGCAAAAAATGGTCATCTGAAACTGCGGGGAAGCGCAGTGCTTGCCCACACCCTCCTATGTAGTTCCTTTTTGGCTAGTATACTATAATCCCTCCCCCAAAAACCATCACAAACCCAAAAAGGAACTACATTGGAGCCCTGGGGTATTGTGCAAGACTCGATAGACACAAAACGAAGCAACCTGTAGGCCCTAGCAGGCATGGAGGGTAGAAAGGTAATCCCCTGATATATGTTAAGGTTAAGGGTTTAGGGATATGTGATATATGTTAAGGTTAAGGGTTTAGGGATATATCATAGATGTTAAGGTTAGGGGTTTAGGGTTTAATTAGGGCAATGGCTGCAACACCTTGCTTGACTCTCTTGAAGCCCCATGCAATACCAGAAGTCTTCTCCGAGGTTCAAAAAATGAGGAGGTACTTGGGGCTTTGGCAGTATATGGGAGGTTTTGAGAAGTATATGAGCCATTGCCTAAACTCCTAGTATCCCCTTTAATAACCCCTATAGCAGTCCCCTATATAATCCCCTACATAACCCCCCTTTTAAGGATTTTAGACTACATAAACCCTAGACCCTAAACCACAAACCCTGAACCCTAGACCCTAAACCCTGAACCCTAAACCCTAAACCCAGCTCATCTGATCATTGAGTACTGGGACCTTCAGACTTCAACTCTCCAGGCGTCCCCAGGTCACAATGGATCCATCTGCGCGGATTGCAGCGAAAGCGCCCTTATTGGCCTGTAGCTGGCAAACCTTTAGGGTTTAGGGTTTAGGGTTTAGGGTTTAGGGGGCGGTTATCAAAAGCAGGCTGTCATTTTGAGCGCTAAACTGTCGGGTGACATACGGCATAGGTCGTTACAAGTGCCCTTCCTCGACGAAGGCCTACTGCTTTGAAAGCTACTTATGAACTGCTGGGTTGAGGATCTACAGTCGAGTGCGTCGTGTCTAGGTTCAGGGCCAGGGGGACGGTTGTTGCCTTCGCAGTGCAGTACCCAAACCCTTAGAGCGGTCAGCAGGGACAGTTTTCTACCTACGCATTCTGGTTGATTCCCCATGATGGTGCATCCTCGTATAGTTTCTGATTGCCCTTTACCCTTAGCCCCTATAAACCCTAACATGGGCTTGTCCCAGCGTCGTCCTGAGCTTATCCAAGGCTGGCACCCCAGAGCCTTTAGAAAAAAACTTGCCAGCTTGGTCCCAAGCAGGTTCACGGCTTAGCTCGAGGATTTAGGGTTGGGGTTTCAAGGATAGCTCTCGACAAGCAGCATCGGCAGGATTCGGGCTTGTGTTTCTGATACTCTCACATCTACAAAGTGGTCTCAACATGAACCTACATGTCGAGAACCACCCACGGATAGGATGGCTGGAGAAGGAATTTGGTGCTGATGAGTCTGGAGCATGCGATCACACAGGAGACGCGCGGGGGTCTCAAAGGCTTCGACGGAGACCCAGTGTCGGGCTAGTATTACATGTATATATATATATACGGTATGTAAACAATATGCCACAACCCATACGTATATATATATATGTGTATAGAGAGAGATAAATAGATAGATAGATACATAGATAGAATGTAGGTATATGTTATACAATATATGATACATGTGTTACATTATCGATGTGTTCTACTATATGGGTCTGGCCACCAGGCCTAAAAATACACACTTTGAGTTGGTAGTTGCAGCTGTAGGTCCCAGCCCTCTACATTCCGAGTAAACTTTGCTGCGATGCCTAAACAGAAGAATTGCGCTTCAATAGATTCTCTGGTGACCCAGAAGTAACCTCCCCCCACCCCCCCAGTTGAGGATTTAGGGTCCCATAACGCCCTAAAGCCTACCCCAATCATTGACCCCAGTCCAAGAATCTCTAACCCCTAAGTCAACAAATCCTCATCCCCAGGCCCTGATCATCCGCAAGCCCAGCCGGCCCAGTTACTGTACAAGACGCTAATGAAATATATACATATATTTAAAAGAACTATAGGCCATGGTGGGCTGAGAACTTGGGCTGTCTCTACCCAGCCCTCAACCCTAATCCGGTATAAGCCCGATCATCGCCGATATACGCTTAGCTTCCATACGAGCCACTGTCTAAACTCCTAGTATCCCCCTTAATAACCCCCATAGTAGTGCCCTATATAAGCCCCTATATAACCCCCTTTAAGGAGTTTAGACCCTAAACCCTAAACCCTGAATCCTAAACCCTAAACCCTAAACCCCATATAATACACTATATAACCCCCTTTAAGG